TTAAAAAAGGACTTCTTGTTGTCCTTAATCCGGGAAGCCAGCCCCTGTTCCATCTCTGCCTTGGCCTTCCTAACCATCCCCCTACATCCCCGAGCAACTGCAGACTAGTCCTCCTTAGTGATGACCCCTCCTTTCCATCTTGATATTGTTCAAGTAAAAAGACCGTTTTGTGCTGCCCTTTTAGTTAGTTGATCACTATTTTGTTGTTAGGGTAAATTTTTATAGCAACTGTTCAACTTTGCTGGTCACCTATGATGGCGGAAAAGCCTTCCCACTGTAGGAAGACTAATGTTCACAGCGGAGGGTAGAAATGTGCCAAAAACTCCCCTCCACCAAAAAAAAAAAAAAAAGTGTAGCGATAATAGCTTGTAACTAAGAAACCACCCAACCTGCTCACTTCTTTCCCTCACCAAACATCCCATCAGGCAGAGCTTTTTCCCTGAAAAGTCAGAGGATCTATGATGCCCTCAGGGTCTTTGCTGTTGCAAATGATTTTTCTTGGACTGCTCTCAAATACTCTGGGTGGCAGTATAAAACTCCTAACACACATCTCGGTGTTTTCAGATCCAGTTAAGTTTCCATCCACATTTTGAAGTCCATGAGCCTAGAAATTGAAACACTCAATCTGCCCAGACCAGTGGGCCCAGGTCATATTCTCGAGAGCCCTATGATATAAATTTACACCTTGCTCCTCTCCATTGCTGACCCAGGCATGGTGTTGCAGGTATCTAGATAAAATGAATTTCCTTTTCAATAAGAGCAGATGAGGTGGCCTTCATGAGTGACGCTTCAATCTTTACTCCTCCCACATAATTAAAACTCCTGCAGAGACCTTTTAGAGGGCTCTTTGCAAGTGGCCGGTCAGTCGAAAGCCAAGGCAGTACATATGAGTGTGCATAGTTCAGCAGCTTAAACTTGCTTGCTACCCTGAAGCCAGACTTGAGAGAGACTTGTTTCTTTTATGGTAGATCTCAAGCCAGTTCCCCAAGCAATACGTACAAATGAGTTTGCAGAGGGAAAGGAATCATCATAAAAATGTATATATAATCTTTGTGTGTCTTCATCTGTTAATAATTACATAATTTGGCTACACTGCAGTGATGTTTTATTGGCATGAAAAAGTTAACCTACCCAGAATGTGTTGCACTGAGTGTACTCATGCCGTATTTGTCTTGGACAAAGCCTCTTATTAAAATACTATGTTGGAAACCCGATTCAGGGAGTGTGCTAATTGGAGATTACAGCTGGTCTGAAGCCCTCACTAGATTTCAGTGTCATTTTATTTGGAAGAGCTTTAGTGATGTATCTGTATAATTAAAGCAAAATCAGAGACTGTTCTTGTAGTCTTACATATATTTGTTTAATGGAAGGGCGTATGTAATGCTATTATGTAAGAGCTGAAAATGGGACATTAGGTTTTTTTTTTCCCCATCAGTAGGTGTTCAGAGCAATGGTGTTTATAGTACATATTTGCTGTTAGACAATGATATTATTTTCTGGTTTACATAATGCTTACAGCATTTGCTGTCCATTCTTTGTCTTGAAAAGCCCTTGGCTGTGTGGTCCACTATGGTATATTTAAAAAAAGCAAGACCTCTTGCAAATGGGTTTCATGGCCAATGCTCTGCACTGCTATGCAGCAGATCTGGATTTGATTGCTTTTCTGCTGGAGCTGGGAGCAAAGCATAATTAATGTGCTAGCTCAGCCAATATGTCCTGGGAGAGAGTGCATCTGGAGCCTCACTAATATACTCAAAAACTAATCAGGGATGGGAAAAGTTGCATTAGATCAAATCTATCCTGCTTCTGAGGGTAGAATACAGTCCCCCAGCAGAAGTATACTATTTCTACCTACAACACGTGGGTGTGGAGATGCTAGCAAGGTACTTAAAAAGCTTGAAACAAGCTGTTTGGGGCCCAGCATTTTACCTAGCGTTATAGAGGTGGAAAGTACTTTCCAAATACGGACCCCAGTGGGATAGAGAAATGGGTATGGTCCCTGTTTGACAGATTTGGGGTGTGAAAACACTGATACGGGCAAGTCATAGGGGAAATTTGGTGAATGGGTTAAAATTCAGGAGTTCCCGTCTCGTAGGCCGGTGCCGAGACCACGTGACCAAACCCCACAAAATACTGAGCCTCGGCCAGAAAGCCCAGAAGAAGCAAGAGAGTTAGAAGAGACACTTCAAGATGTGTTTGGAAAGCAAGGACAGGGAAATAAAGCACCCAACTATGTAGAGACCTCCAGAGAGACTGGTTACCCTCTTCCTGACCTGTGGTTGAATCCGGAGCTGGCTTGCTTGGGCCCAGCTAGTGTGGAACAATGTCGAAGATCAGACAAGCATCGAGGGAAATGGTCACATCAATGTCAGACGGAAGGATCATAATGTAATAGCTACCAAAAAAATCCTAATATTTGTCATTTACAATAGTGTTATCTAAATGCTTGGCCTGCAGTTAAAAAGGCACACTTTGAATAAACACTGCAATATTTATTATTTTTAGTGAAATCGACCTTCCAGTCACCTCGGTTTTATGGCTGTGCTGCTTATAAATTCCCAAAGGATTATTTGAAAAATCCTACTCATATCTGCCAGCCTTATCAGCAGGGCAGAAGTTCACATATTGTAACACGAGGTCAGCCTTCGGTCATGGTCTTGCAGACGGGGCCAGGCACCTGTAAATCCTTCCTTCAGCAACTAAGGCGAAGTACAATATCAAACAGGCAGGGAGACTTTTCCAGGAAGTGCTGAACTTTTGCAGGAAGGGCAAAGGAGAGGGAAAGAAAGTGAACAAGGGTCAGCCTGTGGTTAATTGAGCTTTGGTCCTTGACTTGTAACAGAACTAGGAAAGACAGGCCCTGATAGGGATGCTTTATGGTGGTGTTCGTCAGCAGTTCCCTTTCATTGTAAAAATATTGGCCAGTCAACTGTGGCCTGAGGATCAGAGGGAGAACGATGGCATTTTTAAATAGTGGCAATTAAAAAAACCCCCAAATGTATCTGTGCTATGCAGCTCTTTCAAATTAAAAGAATAGATTAAGGGATTTAGAGGGCAATGAAAATGGTTTGGGGCCTGGGGCACATGACTGCTGAGGAAAGGCTGAGGGAAGTGGGCTGATTTAGTCTGGAGAAGAGAAGAGAGGACCAAGGGGGATTGAATAGCAGCCTTCACCTCCCTGCAAGGAGGCTGCAAAGAGGATGGAGCTGGACTGATCTCAGTGGGGGCAGATGACAGGACAAGGAGCAATGGGCTCAGGCTGCAGCAAGGGAAGTTGAGGTTGGATATTAGGAAAAACTTTCTCATGTGGAGCATAGTGAAGCACTGAAAGAGGTTGGTCAGAGAAGTTGTGCAGTCTCCATCATCCTTGGAGGTTTGAAGACCCGGGTAGACAAAGCCTTGGCTGGGGTGATGTAGCTGGGGCTGGTCCTGCTTTG